TGTCTTTTCTATCCCAACATAAATGTAAACACTAGCTCTTTAAAACTATTATGTTTTGGGCCGGCCCAGTGGTGCACTGGAGAGTGTGCCGCTTGGGAGCCTGGCGGCGCTCCTGCCGAGGGTTCGGATCCCATGTGGAGACCAGTTCCCGCTCACTGGCTGAGCGTGGTGCGGGTGCAGCACCGAGGGTTGCGATCCCTTTGCCGGTCCCTGGTGCGGGCGCGACAGTGAGGGTTGCGATCCCGTTACTGGTCAGTAAAAAAGACAAAAAAGGAAAAAAAAAAAAACTATTATGTTTTAATTCCTCCAACTTTAAGCATCCTGGCCTGTTCTCAACCACATATTATTTCGGTTGGACAAGGAGCCTGGCTTTCTTTCTCCCACAAGTCTGTGTGTGTGTGTGTGTGTTTTAGTAACTTTGCATTTTTTATAATCATTGCTTTCCTGTGCCACCTCCTGTAAATCAGGGTGTTGTTCTCTGACAGTCATATTATTCACAGCCTTAGTAATAGGCAGCGGTGAAAAGAAGAGAAGCAAAACAAGGCTCTAGTGACGGGAGGAAGTACCAAGCAGGCCGTGTATTTCTCCGTGTTTGGGGAAGAGTAGAAAGATCTGGGTTTCAAGCCAGGGTCAATCACTCAATTGCTATATGATCAAGTTACTTGACTTTAGTTTCCCTGTATTCAATGAAGGACAATGATGGCATGTACTACGCAGAATTTTAATAAAGATTAAATGAGAAAAACAGATGTTAAACACTTGGCTCAGTGCAGAGTAGGTGCTCAATAAATGTTAGCTTACATTAGCTATTGTCACTGGTCACCAACCAGGAGCCATTTATTACTGCCTAGTGAAACTCTGCTGGGCACAATGGGGCATGCAGAGAAAGTAGTGGAGGTAAGTTTGAATGAGCCTCCAGGAAATGTTTGATCTACTAGAGGAGTAAGAAATACACACTTCACGTGAAAAACAGGCCAAGGCAGCATGTGTGGGATGGGGTCGTGCAGACTGGACACATGTATTTGTAAGTGCCAAGGAAATCTCGAGTAGGTGGAAAGACTTTGATGGGGTTGGGTTGATTGAGGACCATTTTATGGAGGAGGCGAATCTTGAGCATGGACTTGAAAGTAGTTTAAGATTTAGAAGTCTGGAGAGCAAAAGAGAACGTATCCTTGGGAAGAGAATCAGAATGAGGTCTTGGGGGAAAAATGGGGCTTGTTCTAGGAGTAGAAGGAGGTTGAAAAGAGACCCTATATTGAGAAATTCTGGAAAAGAATGAGAGATAAAATGAAGCCACGCTGGAAGTTCAAAATGCTTAAAGAACTGGGAACCACTGTAAGTGTTCAATCAGAGGAATATTATGATGTAAAATTAGTACTTTAGGAAAACTGGTGTTGTAGCTATGTGCAGTTGTGGGTGAGACCATGAAGAACTGCTCTGGAGTTCAGGTGCAAGGAGGGTGAGCACACACTTGGAAATAGGGAAGGGAATGAATGAATCTGACGTGCATTTTAGGAGGTGTTTGTGAGGTGTTTTGAGATCCATAAGGAGTCTTTTTCTATAGTGGTGGAAGTGAAGTGGCCAAGATGAGAGAATGCACAGGACTTCAGAGCTCTGCTCCTCCTCCCCCTGCCCCCTCCACTGCCCCCATGGAAGGTCATTAAATAGCAGGCAGACACTGCGACAGCGACAGTGAGGCAGCCAGGAGTTCATAAAGGGAAATGGTCCCTTTCCAAAGACTGCTAAGACTGGCTACCTTGTTGTGCCAGGAATGTTAACAAAATTGCAAATGTATTTTTTTTTTTTTTTTTTTTGACCGGTAAGGGGATCGCAACCCTTGGCTTGGTGTCGCCTGCACCGCGCTCAGCCAGTGAGCACACCGGCCATCCCTATATAGGATCCGAACCCACGGCGGGAGCGCCGCTGTGCACCCAAGCACCGCACTCTCCCGAGTGCACCACGGGGCCGGCCCGCAAATGTATTTTAAATTGCATGTTCAATAGCTTCCCATTGGGTCACGAGCAAGCATTAACCAGTGGTAACCTTGAAATGCTCCCATCTCGCCTCTTAATTGTTTCTGGGTAGGTATCTGCGTACCTGTCTGGGGAAAGGGGGCAGGTGTAACTGCTAAGGTGCTTGAGTCCTCGGACTCTGGGGAAGTCAGTCCTACACATCCAGCTGGCTGATGACCTGAAATCAACCCCTGTCCTGTGGGGTGGGGTTTTCATCACAGACACTGCTCTGACATGTGTCACATGCACGTGTGTGTGTGTGTGTGTGTGTCCCCTTGAAAGACAGAGTCTCACCTCCATTTGCCCAGTTTCCTCTCCTTGGTCTCTTAACTCTTGGACTGCATGGATGTGGCCCCATAAGGGAATGAAAATTGGTGACTGAGTCTTAGCTGGAAGAGACCCTGGAGTCCCCATTTTCACATATGCGGCCCTTCAGTCTGCTGTTGTCCTGTCCAGCTCACTAAGACCGAACCATCAGTCCCCACATCGCTTCCTGCCTCCCCAGGTGGGCTGAGGCTAGAAGTTTCCATTCTGCCCACACTATGTTACCTTTCTGAGGGGTCCTTTCTCCTCCCAGCCCTGCACAAGGATGTGAGAAGGGTGACCACTGCCTGGCTTCAGCTCTGGACCACTCAAGGGCTGGCTCACAGAGCCACCGGACAGAGCATCCTGAGGGGCCGGCGTGTACGCGTGTTGGGGGAGGTTCAGTTTCAGGCACCACACATCCGGAAGGCAGAGAAATCGCCACCACACATGCAAAGCCTTGTTTTTTTTTTCCCAGTAATTTTTAAAATCTGTTTTTCAATGGCTGAGAGTTGGGTGGGCGGACAGTGTGTGGGGACCAGCGGCTATTCCTATCTCCCTGCTTGTTTATAAGGCACAGGGGGCAGGGTGAGCAGCTCTAGGCAAGTCTGGCCGTAGCTGGCCTGTCAGCCTATCATGGGACAGTTGAGCTACAGTGACCGTTAGCAGGCACTGACTCCTGTCCTTGGCTCAGAGACAGTGGCCCCCCAGTGTGGTCTCGGTGGATCCTAGGACTTGCAGGGCCATGAGATTTCTCTGGAGTCTGATGAAAGGGTGTGACCAAGTGAGAGATGCTGACGTGAGGCAAAACCGTGGGGCAAGAAGTGTCACCAGTCGGGAGAAAGGACTCAGCTCTCTGGCAGTGGGAATGCGTGAGATAGGTGTCCGCCGGGGAGTGGGTGTTTGCAGGTGGCACCGTGATGGGGACAGCATGAGGATGGGCAGGGGGTACAGGGGAGGGAGAGGAGGCTGGAGAAGCCAGAGAGAATGGTAGCTGTGACTCTCAGTCCCCAAGAAGGTCGGGGAGGTGGGGTTGAGGATGTTTGGACAAGGAAGCCCTTTGAAGCTTTTCTCTCGTCCTCCCCACTCTGGACCTGGTCCCCTCCCCTCCATAAAGCCATTAGCTTCTGGTGCCAGCCCTATCTCTGCTGCATCTGTCTTGGTTCCAGTCGGTGCATTCACAGACCTCCTGCCCTGAGGGATGGGGGAGGATTTATGGGGGTGGGGGTGGAGGGGGCGGAGGGGGAGGAGGGTCCTTCAGAGGAGGAGAGGTCTGCGAGGAAAGCAGGGTGTGGGGGGCTGGAGCCCGGTCGTTTCCGAGCTGGCTCTGCATAACAAAGGGGAAGGGCAAGTTTCTTCTTTGATCTGCCCCCTGCTGGCCCCACACACCTGCCTGTTGGTGCCCCCGCCCCAGCCGAGACCTCCAGAAGAAAAACCAAAAGGGGGTGGGGAAAAGGCTGCGTCCCAGCTCTCCTGGATCCTTCTCGGGCCACCTTCTTCTCTTGGTGGCCCCAGGACCAAAATATTTCCTAGGCTGATGACCCAAAGCACCTGCCGCCCCCTCCCAGAGAGCCTGGAGAGCCAGAACGGCGGGACGGCGCGGTGAGAGGGTGTGAGTGTGTGTGTGTGTGTGTGTGTGTGTGAGGCTGGAGGTGTCAGGGGTCCCGGGAAGAGATGTGGGGTCATGGCCCAGATGGAAGCTCGGAGAGGAGGTGCTGGCGAGTAGGAGGGCCGTGGTTTTATACACTGCTCCAGGATCCAGAAGCATGGATTTTGCAAACGTTTGGAAGGGCTCAAGGAAAAGCGTTCTTCGAGGATGCGGGCTCAGGCATTAGTTACAAACAGCGCAAGGCAGAGAGACGTGGGCGCTGTCGTGCTGCAGGAGAGGGGCTGTGGCTTCTGGAAGACGTGTCCCCAGCACAGATATTGGATGCAAGAGAGGCAGCCCCGGAGCCGGCGTGTCCCCGGCTGCCCCTCGAGGGCCACAGGGTGCAGAGGAGGGGCAGGGGTACCTAGGAAGGTACCGCCTCTGCCACCAAGGCATTGGGGCGGGCGCCTCACTGTGTGGCTTTTACCTTCGTTGCTCAGAGAAGTTGCCTGGAGAAGGGGCCAAGTCCTCGCCCCTCTCCCTGCTCTTAGTCCTTGTTTACCTGAGGGTGAGCAAGGGCTGGGATTTGGAAACTTGTTTAGAAGGACGCAGATTGGGGGGACCCTCATTTGGTGTGGGTGAATCCAGTTCACCAACTGTTTTTAGCCCCACGAAGGCGAGCCTGACGGTCAGAGACATTCGTCTCCGGGCTGCAGCGAGAAGTGGAGAGGGAGCAGCGGGCCGGACGGTCCCCGTTTTTTGGATGTCCTGGAGGAAGGGCTGGTGCACTTTGCGACAGCCAGAGAGGCTTCCTGAGGGCCACACGCAGCGTGCTGTGTTCTAGAAATGACTTGTCATTTCTCTTTTCTGGTTTCTCAGCACGTTGTTTCATTTGGCACTAGGTCCTGAGGAGGGTTCCCACAGTGTTGAGTAAGCGACACGAAAGCCCTCTGGTGAGAAGAGCAGTAGGAGATGGAGGCTGGGAAGAGGCTGGAGCAGAACCCGAGGCTCGTCCAGCCCTCCCCCCGCCCCTCCCCCGGCCTTCCCTTATCTGCCGCGTGTCCACACTGATCCTCCCTTCGCTCTGTTCTCTCCAGGGACCCCCAGCTTGGACGCTGTCAGTCCCAGGGCACTGGGGAGGGCTGAGGCCGACCATGCCCGGGCTGCCGCTGCTGTTGGCCGCTGCGTTGCTCTCCAGCTGGGCGCAGCTCTGGACGGACGCCGGCTCCTGGTGGTGAGTGGGGGCTGCGGACCTCTGCTAGCTGAGATGCGGGGCAGGGGCACCGTGTGGCATCGGCACACCTCAGTCCTAGGGATGCCGAGGACCTCTTTCATCCCAGGAACATTAGGACAGCTCTTTTTCCCTCTCAAGCCCCTGGAGGTAAGGGTTCCCCGAGGATAAAGGATTAGTTCATTTGCTTATTTTTTCTGATCTTGTCCACATTCCACCTTTCCTGGACAGTCCCTCATCCCCACGAATTGATAGAAACAGCTCTTTTATTGCTATTGGGTCAGTAAGAGTATTGATACCTGGTGGGGTTTTTTGTTTTGTTTTGTTTTCTGCTAGTAAAAGCAGGGAGAGTAGAATTCCCATTTTATAAGTCTGAAGACCAGATGAAGGATTTGCAGATGAGGGATTTGCAGGACCACGTGTGGCTTTCTTTTTGTGTTTCTAAGGCTATTTTCAATGCCCAGTCAACATGGCAATGGCAGGCGATCACCACCTACTCTGCGTGGCCTGGGCCCCGCTCCCGTTTTCACTCTGATGGCAGATCTACAGCCGTCCCAGCTAACTTAGCCCTTTCCTATGTGTGGTAGACCGTGAGCGGAGGGGAGAGGCTGGACTGATAAGGAGAGGGTTGGGGGTGTGGAGTGAGGCCTGCGGTGGAAGGTGCAGAATACCTCGTGGCTGTGTGAGTCGATTCTACTTTAAAGGCAGAAGGGAAGGCCCGGTGGAGGGAACGGGGGCGCTTCCCCTGCATGTCCCGCACGGGGCTAGGCTGGACTGGCCGCTCCCACTCCTCGAAGAAGGCATGTGCTGTCCCGTTGAGGACCGCCATTTTTTGCCCTCTGCCTCAGACCAATCGCCGCCCCCACCCCATCTCCTTCTCTGCCTGCCCCCAATCCTGTAAGACCCAGTTCACATTCTGGCCAGCTTAAAAAGGCTTCTCCTCAGCCACAAGAACTCTTTTCCCATCAGATCACAGCGGACCCAAAAGTTCAGGTCTGTCTTAGGCACTTGTCATCTCATGAGTCATTTGTGTTCATGCCTCAGTTTCCCTCAGTTTGTCCTTTGAAGGCAGGCACTCTCTTTTACTCATTTCCTTTTCCAAGACCTTAGTCCAGGGCCTTGTACACAGAAAGTTTTCGGTAAACGTGCTGAATGAATGACTTCATGCTGCACACGGGCATGTGCTCACTCTGTGGCCTTTTCCCCTTTCTGGATTGCCGTTGTAGGTCATTAGCTCTGAACCCAGTGCAGAGGCCCGAGATGTTTATCATCGGTGCTCAGCCTGTGTGCAGCCAGCTTCCTGGGCTCTCCCCTGGCCAGAGAAAGCTGTGCCAGTTGTACCAGGAGCACATGGCCTACATAGGGGAGGGAGCCAAGACGGGCATCAAGGAGTGCCAGTACCAGTTCCGGCAGAGGCGGTGGAACTGCAGCACAGTGGACAACGCGTCTGTCTTTGGGAGAGTCATGCAGATAGGTAAGAGGTCACTGAAATGTGGCTTGGCTGCAGGACTTGTGCTCATCTGGCCTGGGTGCAGTTAAGCTCTCTCAGCACTGGCCCAGGGAGAGACCAAAGGACGCAGAGCGTCGGGCCATGTTAACCACGTGGTGTGTGCTCCTGCCTTCCTCTGCTTTCCAGCTTCACCCCGGGCCAGCTGTCTGTTACTCTGGGAGGGCGTCAGAACATCTGAGTTGAGTTAGAGGGGATTGGGAAATCCGCCCACCACCACTGCCTTTGTCTCTCAGCACAGCGAGGGCCTCCTTTTGGCTTCCTAGAGCCTTGGGTGGAGAACCAGAAATTGCAGCCCAGATTGTCTGTAGGATTTTTGCCTCTTCCACTTGGACCCTTGAGAGAGAGAGAGAGAGACTTTGGGCCTGATTGGTAATAGTTGTCATCGACCCTGGCTTTTTCATTTGAAAATGGATGTGGATGAAAGTGGGAGAAGGGGACGGGCTAAAGAAGAAAGGTGGGAGGAGGGCAGGTCCGCCTGGATTCCTGTCCCTTCCCTTCTCGCGTTGCTGGTCCAGGACTCTTTGGCTACCACATTGCTTAGGTGGAGGTGTGATCTGAGGTCTAATTGTTTTCGGTCCTTTTGAAATGCAATCCTCTCCTCCCTGTCAAGAAATTGAGAAATCCGGCCCTATTCTACTGGGTCTTATCCGCAGGGCCGTAAAAGGAAGGTGTTAGAGCCCCGCATTCTCCATGTCTCACATTCTCCCACAACAGTTTCCCCTCAAAAAGCCACATTCTGGAGCTACCTGAGGCTGGGGTTTTCCCAAAGAGTGACAGCGGGGGAGTTGGGGAGATAGAGATTTCATGCTCTTCTACTAAGAAGGCTGCTTGCAAGTCCTCTCCCCTCCCCCATCGCAGGTCTCTCCCCTCCCCCCATCGCAGCCCGC